GGCTGCGGTGGCCAGGAGCGGCCACTGCACTCCGGTCTGGGTGACAGAGTGAGACTCCAACTCAAAAAAAAGAAGCTGAGATGGGACTGGTGGGCCCAGAGAGCTGGAACCCATAGTAGTAAAAGCCCAAGCCCAGAGAGGGGAGAACTCTCAACAGTATAAGACCCTTCCATATCATTCCTAACTTCACTTGATATTGTCCAATTCCTATTTTAGGCAAAGCAAAAATTACAGGACCAAGTTGTCAAATAGAGGAAACTGAGTCTCAGAAAGGAGCAATGCAGGACTAGGAGCCAGGTGTCCAAGAGCCCTCCCCCGTACTACTCGAAGATACAGAGTATGAGAGAGACAGAGAGAAGAAAAGGGGGACGAGAAGGCAGGAGGCAAGTGATCGTTAATTGGAGATACAAAGACTGATACAGAAGACCCAAGAGCAGTGAACTTCCTCATGATCTCCAGGGTAGCCCATTGGGCAGGGCTTGGTCTCCTGAAAAGCTGTCCAGCCCTGCATTCCCTCTGTGGGTGGATCACAGGCTAGTCCCGATCACAGGCAAGTTGGGTATTAAAGGGAAGATGAGAAGGGCCAAAGCCCCTCATATAGAATCAAACAGCACTTGACAGTTTCCAACCTCATAATCATTTAACTTTAGAGCAGGGAACACCCATAAAGATTATCCTGCCACCTCCCTACTGTTACTCATTGTACAGATGGGAGATCAAGACCCAGAGACCAGAAGGGACTTTCCAAAAGTCCAAGCAACTCAGTCACAGGAATCTAGGATTCCTAACCAGGGCATACTAGAGAGGGATCACTCTTTCCCTTGCTAGAACCTTCACATAAGCTTACTGGAATCCAGGACACCTATTATTCATTTCTGGTTATGCTGAGGCTCACTGTGTGACTGTAGGGACTCCTTCTACACGGAAGATTCTTATAGAATGTAGGGATTTTTGTCTGTTAGTCCCTCATATATACCTCCAGTCCCTAGAACAGTGTCTAGCTCATTCATTCATTAAGTGAATTAATGTTGCCAGGCACCATGGCACGGGTCTATAATCCCAGCTACTTGGAAGGCTGAGGCAGGAAGCCTACTTGAGCCCAGGAGTTTGAGACCAGCCTGGGCAACATAGCAAGACCCCGTCTTATAAAATAAATAAATAAAAACTTAAGATGAATGAATGTCTAGAGGGCCGGGGTTAGGGAACTGTCACAGTCACAAAGCCTGAAGACTGAAGACCAGGGAACTATGGGCTTTATCCTCAGATACATGAAAGGCTAAAATGCTGTCCACAGTATTTATAGAGGGTCCATGATGTGCTTGGTACTAAAGTAGGAGCTTCTCAGATTCAGTTAAGAACAAAGTCATGTCCTGATCCCAGATGCAAGGTAAGTGGCAGGGAAGCAGCCTGCTCAACAATACAGGCACTTTTCTTAGCCTGAGATGCCCTGAAATGGTCTCGCTGCTCAGAAGGTGGTGAGTGCTGCGGGACTGCAGTGTTCCAGGAGAGTCCCGGCCGCCCACCTGTCAGAGGATGCGCCAGGAGTATGCGGGAGAAGAGATTTCTGCCTTGGGTGAGGTCACTTCCCACCCCCAGATTCCCTGCCCACAAAACACTGCAATTCTCTGACGCCGAAGACTCGGATCTCATTATTTCCTGATTTTCAAGATCCCATGATGCTGACAGCCCCAAGTTTTAAATCACCAGTCTGCCCACGCCCCTGGACTCACAAGAAACACTACAAGCGAATTCAGCAAGGTTCCTACCACCCACTGCCTCAAAAGGTTCTGGGGGTAGTCGGCGCGCCCCTCCTCATTTCCTGGGGGCTGTGTGGGCGGAGATCGGGCGCTGGGGTGCTGGGGATGTCGTGAGGAGAAAGGTGTCCCGGAGACGGCGTTGACAGACCCGAAACACGTGACAGTCAAAGCGTCATGTTCTGCGGTGCGCAAGGCTGGTACCGAGCCGGTCACGTGACACGGGGGGGGTGGCACCATGGGGTGATGTGAGATGCGGGTCTCTCGGATTACGTACAAATGACGCGTTCCCACCCCTTTTGGCAAACAGATTTCCGTTGGAAGTTGTGACGATTCTGGCAAAGGGGGCGGGTTCTCACGTCCAGGCAACTTCACTTCCGCTCGGGGCGCAACAGCTTCCGACCTCCGCCTTTCCCTCGGGCGAGGAAGAGACGCAACCTCGTGCGCATGCCCCGAATCATCCCCAGAGGGGCGGGGCTGAGGCTACCGGAGCGGGAGGCGGGGAAGAAAAGGGAATTCCAACCTGTGGGACCTAGGGGGTCCCCGGGGTCGGCTCCTTCCCATTGACTGTAGATGGTGTAAGGGACGGAGCCTCTGGCGGCTCGTGGGGGTGTTGGGGTCCGCAGGGTGACGGAGGGGAGTGTCAGAGTGTGAGTGGGGTACGGGAATTCCAAACCTAGGACTTGAGGCCCTCTGGGCTCAAGCCGCCATGCGGGACAGGACCCACGAGCTGAGGCAGGTGAGAAGTCGGGGCAGTAGGGTTGGGGACGGGCGGACGGACTGGAATGCAGGACTCCTGGTCTTCGGGGCAGGGAAGGGTGGCTGATGGCCAGGAAGGAAAGTCCCAGAAGACTGTGGGTCCTGTGGGGTGAGAGTTGCAGCAAGGAAGTGGTGCCAATGACTCTGGCCCTGGCAGGGGGATGACAGCTCTGACGAAGAGGACAAGGAGCGGGTTGCGCTGGTGGTGCATCCGGGCACGGCACGGCTGGGGAGCCCGGACGATGAGTTCTTCCAGAAGGTAAGGGGGCTAGGGTCTCGGCCTTTATTCGCGAGCGGGCAGGAGGACCCAAGGAGCAACGTAGTCTGGAGAACCCCATATCTCTTTCAGCCCTCTCGGTCACCCTCCTCAGGTCCGGACAATTCGGCAGACTATTGTCAAGCTGGGGAATAAAGTACAGGAGTTAGAGAAGCAGCAGGTCACCATCCTGGCCACGCCCCTTCCCGAGGAGAGTGAGTGACACCCCGGGTGCAGGACGCATGCTCGGCCCACGGGATTGTGGAGGTTGTAGTTCCACCCAGGTGGTGGCCAGGGTGGTTTGCTGAGGTGGGGGCTGCTGGTTGGGAGTCATGGCCTTTTCTTGTTTAGGCATGAAGCAGGACCTGCAAAACCTGCGCGATGAGATCAAACAGCTGGGGAGGGAGATTCGTATGCAGCTGAAGGGTGAGCACTTAGGACCTCAGACAGACCCACCCTTCCCTCTGATCCTGCCCTGTTCGGTATATCTGGGAAGTGCGTGGCCCATAGAGACTAGTGATATATCCAGATCACACAGCAGGCCTGGGTCTCAAATCTCTGTCTCCTGGCTTCCAGTCCATTGTATTTTCCATAGCACAGCCTGCCTCTCAGCTTCCTTTATTTACAACGAAAACATATACTTACACCCCCTTTGCTACCCACTGTGCATTCTTTGAGCAGGCAGATGGGAGTTTTGTTAGGAGGCCTCTACATACCTGTGGGAACTCACCGAAGTGATGCAAAGAAAAATTAAGCCAGGCGCGGTGGTTCATGCCTGTGATCCCAGCACTTTGGGAGGAAGAGGTGAGAGGATTGCCTCAGTCCAAGTGTTCGAGACCAGCCTGGGCAACTTGGCGAGACCTCATCTCTACAATACATCAAAAACTTAGCTGGTCATGGAGGCGTGTGCATATGGTTCCAACTACTTGGAAGGCTGAGGTGGAAGGATCTCCTGAGCCCAGCAGCTGGAGGCTGTAGTGGCTGTGAGCATGCCAGTGTGCTTCACCCTGGGTAACAGAGTGAGACTCCAACTCAAAAAAAAAGAAAAGAAAGAAAACATTCTCCTGTAGGCTCAGAACTACTCGTTTTATATTTTCCTAAAAATTCTATTTACCTCCCTATTGTATATCTAGAGTATGACTCTGGCCCTGTATCCTGGTCCCCAAACAAGTGTCAGAAGTCACAGGTCAACACCTCCCCTTGTGTCTTCCCACAGCTATAGAGCCCCAGAAGGAGGAAGCTGATGAGAATTATAACTCGGTCAACACAAGAATGAGAAAAACCCAGGTGGGTTTTTTTTTTCTCCCAGAACTAGGACATTTCAGCAAGTGTTTCAGAAATCATTAGATGGCAGATGCATGAGGAAGAGCCCTTAGAGACTGAGTCCAACCTGATGACTTTCGTGATGGGGAAACTGAGGCTTAGAGAGAGAGAGAACTCACTCAAGGTCAAGAACCCAGGTCTCCTAATGCTTGATCCATTATAATATTGTGCTTTCTTTTCCTCCATTTAATGAAAATTTGCTGTGTCCCCAGATATGACCTAGGTATGGCTATGGGACACATGCCTTCCAGGAGCCAAGATGGGGAGATAGGGCTGAATAGGGGTCAAAAACATTACTCATGTAGAACTCAGCTAATCGCTCTGCCCAGGGAAGAAAGATGAGTCAGAAATGACTGAAAGGGCCGGGCTCGGTGGCTCAGCCTGTAATCCCAGCTCTTTGGGAGGCCGAGGCGAGTGGATTGCCTGAGCCTGCGGGTTCGAGACCCTCCTGGC